TACAGCTACACAAATAGGCAGATGGTATGCTCATTTCCGTAATGACCCCATGGTGTATTTCCAGAGAGCTAAGGTGGAGATTGATTGGAATAGTTGCTCGCTGAAAGTGAAATAATCATCACACTTCCCAATCATCAGAGCAGCAAACTAGATATGAACAGATGTGATGAAAGGTCTATTAAGATATTTGGTCTGCTTCACCAATTGAGTTCCCAGCTTAACTGTGTGCAGAGTACAAAGTGCTGTTGACCCCATTTTACACAAAGGTCTAACTTTGTATGAGTCATGCAAAGATTAATGGATTTAAATAGACTGTACACTCACAATACAGGCCATCACATTATTTGCATAAGAATACATTATTTACAATTTATTCAAATGTTACCCTTCATCCAATGGAACAAACTAGACAGAACAGAATGAGACAAAAAATATATTCTTGAATCAGATCGTTACTCTGAATCTTAAATTAATCAAATTACAAATAGGGGTGGAATCATTGTAGGCCAACTCATTATGGACAATGCAACTGTTACTTCATTCTTCCCTTCCACTGAAACTTCACAGCTGCGATATAAAATAAAAATACATGCGAAAATTACACTAAAGTACGACATAATCCTTTGCTTTCCGTATAGTTCTACACAGGGATTAAATTATCACTGGCTATTTTTTGGGTGGATGGTAGATTGGAGGAGGCACGTGACTAGAAGCTACAGCCATAGTGACATGTGTTTGAGTCACTGATTCAAATACAAATTTTGCTCTGTAATGCAATTATCAATTGTAATTCAGCGATTCAATGCTGGACAGCAACTCAATGCTCAATTGATGACACTAAGTACGTAATAGTGAATTGAAACATTAATTAAAATATCTTTAGTTTCACGATGGATGCATGAACAATCAAATACAAGCCTCTCTATGCAATATTACATGTGTGCGTCCTAAAGAACACTGCATACATAACTTCATTGGTCTATTGCAAAAACAAACACCCCTGGGTGAAATAGGCAAATCATAGAATTCCATCACAAAACCTGTTCAAATTAAGATCAATGCATTTGAAAACTTAAAGGTACATGACTTTTTCATACAAATTTGTAAAAAAAAACAAATATCCCAACACCCAACACGAGCCTGTATTTCAATTGCCTGAAACAACAATCGATGGATCACGGAGACCTGTGAAACTTCGAAACCCGTTGGAATGATAGATGGCCAGGAGATGGCATGAGAGCAAGTGTGTTTGTGAACCTATCGATGCAGACTTATGAGTATTTCCCTCATTGGCTGGAGGTTTTGGGATGCAAAATTTCTCACGGATGCAAAATTTCCATAAAACGGAATTTCTCAAACATCCCAATGGAGGAAAAAGGGTCTTAAGACTTAGCGAGGCTTTCCTAGATAAATAAATGTCATTTGCGTATTTTGCAACATACCCTTGAGGTCCTGTGTCACAAAACCGTGGAATCACTCGTTACAAGCATTTAAAGAAAGGTTATCGTTATAGTATCAACATGAGTTTCATGTGCATAAAAGGCCTATCACACAGAAAGCACATGTATGTTGAAGGTCTTTCGCACATCATATATGTATTTTGTGTATGAATTTTTATTCCAACTCATACATTACACCCCTTTGTAAATCCACTGCTGGAAGAATGCCACACCGTGTCGATTGAGGGGAATGTTTGACCGCACTTTATACCACGCTAATCAGTGCGGGTTGGTAAAGCGGGTGCCCAAGACTGGTGAGAATATCACTTGCTGCTGATGTTATCTTTAGCTGGGAATCATACTCAAGTTGCCAGGCTTCTAGCACCACTGCGTCGCTGCTCCACCCTTCTAAGTTTAAAACGTAACATTTTTATTTAGCCATTGACACCACAAAGATATACTTCCTTAATTTAAGCACAAGCTAGATTTCATAATTTATCTTGAGTTCCTACTTCACTTAAGTCACACACAAGAAAAAAAATATACAACACAACTTAAACATTGGTTTTACTGATCCACACAGCAGGATGACAAATCATGCATATACCTGGATTCTGTCATGCTGTCCAATGTGCCTTTGTCTTCAGATATATTTAAATAGCTTTTGTAATGTTACATTCCAAGCCACATGAGAGATTATGTCACACTACGCATGTTTGACATCATCATGACGTCATTAGCTTGGCTGGCAAGGCAAATCCTATTAGCGCTGGTTTTTGTCGCCAAGATTTTGGTCAATTTGGCTGTCTTTATCTAGGCCAAGTCCTTAACAGCAACACAACTTTATACTCGAGCTTTTTTCTTCATATTGGATTTTTGCAATAGTTATTAAGCCCCATGCGCCCTGTCCACTTTCAGCCTTGGCCGAAAAACTTTAAAAGATGCACAAACACAATTCCAGAGAACAATCACAATTTCGGGAAAAATTATATTGATACATTCAGCGTACGAGCATGTTAAGTCTATTTTACAGGGAATATCTTCTGTGTCCGATTGTATCCAAGAAAACAAAACCACATTTTGATATTATGGCAATTAATATGCTTTACTAAATATTAATTTGACCGCAACTAACTGGAAGATAAAATCATTAAACCCGTTTTAGTCAGCTAAATTATTCAACATTTAATCCATTTAAAGGATACGTCTTTATCGACACCATAATGCAAGCAAATTATGTGTTAACTTTCGCAAAATGTCTTACAAATCAATAAACATTAGCATATGAATAATTTTTGCACGCAATGGCTTACCACTCTTATCAAGGTATTTATCAAAGGTTGTTTTTTTTTTAATGCTCTTTATAATCTAATGGCAATATGAACTATCTATGTGGTCATGCAGCCTGTCCCAGGGGAATGTTGTGCTGCAAAAGTAACACTGGAAGTGATGTACAGCAATGCCTTATTCCAAAAGGGGTCATGATCGAGTAAAGCATGTACCACAGTCGAGCAATTACCACATTGACAATACACTGTATTTGTCCAAATTAGGCCTTTAAAACATGTAAAAAGGGAAGAGAGTACTCAAACTGTAAATGTGGATTCACTCTTCAACACACCGGTGGGCTAAAGTAGTGAATTATTTGTCTTTTGTCAACGTGACACTTTTTTTGCTGATTGGCTGTGTCGGGTGGTGGAGGGTTACGACACATTTATAAATAAACTCGATCTAACCCAAAAACCTTTATTATGAAGAGAAATAACTGAAAAAAATTAACTGCCACCTCACCATCAGCTCTTGAAACGAACCTTTTAAATCAAACCAAACAAACCTTAACCTAACCTGCATGTGCCCGATAGACCATGCGGAAATTAGTCATTCGTACGGCAGGAAATGTAAAACCCAAGATGATTTTTTACAAATTCGGTACAGACTATTGCATGTGAAAAAGACAGACGCACATTTTTTTGCTTCAAGCACAGATGCCAGGCAGTGGGAGAGTGAGAAGTCTGGACAAACACTATCACTTAGTTTTCAGGACGCGTGCAAACATTTCACATCCCTTCGCCACATGCTTTCATATCCGGTTTCGGTATGACCATGTCATGAATTATACAGTGTAGAATAATAACTATTGAGAGGATGTGGTTGGATTACTGTGGCGAGGAACACAATTCCTTCAAAATGCAAGCAGTCCAAAAAACACAGAATCCCAAACCCCCAGTGTAACCGACCCAGAGTGGCACGTAGTACGCGTTACTCATGACCAATGTTAAATTATCAACTATGAGACACAGCGTGCTGAATCCAGCAAGGTGGCTTTCCACAAGCAAGATCCACATGCATTTACAACACCAACATTCAAAATAGTCATTGTAAATGTTATTTTTTTTTAATCACACTGCAGATTTTTTATTGAAGGAAGCACAAATTTAAATGGCTCGGAACCATGAAATACAATTACTCTGTGTTTTAGATTTGTTCCTACCTGTATCTTTAAAATGTGTCTTGTGGGTCATTCAGCCCACTGCACATGAGCCTCTGTAAACATTTCTTGCTGCCTCTGCATTATGCATCAAATAAAGGCACAGCCTTGAGCGGTTGGTAGTACCAGCTGCCTGTTTTAACTCGCACAGCTCAGGTGACAGACAAGCCACAAGCAGCCACTGAAATCAGACCATACGCGGGTCTCCTCTGCAAAAAAAAAACGTTGGGCGCACATTTGCTGCACGTGCCGGATGCTTTTGTGTGCAGATGTATGTACCGCCGTGTACAAAACGTGGGTGGGTGGCAGCGGTGGCCAGCGGCACCGCACTACGGACCCAGCCACCCGAGTTCGATTAACCGTGCAGTTCAACGCCAGCTGACGATTTATCTTGAGCCGGTCGAGCCACGGTCGGCCTCAGCCTCAGATGAGTACCTGGTGCGATGTGTAAACATTGCCACTAGGGTGTGACGCTGGCCACCCAGCCCCTTGTGTGCCGTTCGTCGCCGGCCCTCGTATCAGGCGCTATCTCTGAACGTCACTTGGCACCACATTTATGTTAAGGCTATCGGAGGTGGGAGGGTGGGGGGGGTCTTTGCGTACAACACCAAATGTGTAATTTTTAACTACCTGTATTACTTTACCCCGCGCACAAAAATGCGGAGAAACAATCTTAAGGATAAATGGTATGTAATTAAGCACGCCGTTTAATGTGCGTCCATGCGCGTGGGTCTTGTATGACAATGATGCGCGCGACGTGATGTGGTTGCATCTTTGATTGCGTGTTTGCGTTAGGCGCACGCACGCACGCAGGTTCCCGTGCAAACGTCGCTACAAGAGGAGGAAGAAGAAGAAGCAGCAGCAACCGCTTTACCGGCCCTAACGCAACGCTGTTGTGAGCCGCCTCAAAAACACTCTCAGGCTAGATGTGCAATCGGCCTGTGGTGGTTTGAGGCAGAACAAAAGGCATGCGCCTCCCGCCCCCCACTCCACTCCACTCCCTGCCACAATCGCCAGGCCAGACTTTAAAGGGCGTTGAGCTGAACAGGACACACAGCAGAGTAGTAACTTACCAGCTTGTGATCCGCCATGGCATGGAAACTCGTACAGTTCTCCCGAGCCGACACCCCTGCGCTGTTGATGCTCGCTTGCAACTTTTCTCGAGCTTATTCCGCGGGACTTGTTGAGTCACTGGCAGCCGTCAAGAAAGCTCGGCCCGTCACTGAACCGTCTGTTGTCTCTTTTTTTTTATGTGGTCCCGTTTTTTTTTGCTTCCTTTCTTCTCTTTTTGCAACGTCCGTCCCCCGTTAAATATCACCCAAATGGCTGCACACGTAGATTTAGGCACAGCCAGCCAAGCATCATGGCTTACTTGCTGCTCTCTCTCTCTCGCTTTCCTCTCTCTCCCTTTCTCTGCACGAACAGCTAACGGCGCTGGCTCTCTCTCTCTTATACGCGCACGCTCCACAAGCTGAGACACCCACCACCCCCCCCAACCGAGCGCACACCCCACCGCTGCCCCTGCTGTGTGCATGTACCACTCACCCACGAGCACGCACGCACACAATGCCTGCGACTAACGGTGCAACCATAATGAGCCAAAGACTGGGGCCAGACCCTCCCTCCTCCCCCCCCCAAGAGAAGAACGCCTCGCTTTGTGGCCGCACGCAGAAAAAGACAGAAGGCGCAAAAGGGAAATGGCAGATCAGCCGACAGCCTGTTTCCTCCAAGGGCCACTGACTGATGGCCTCTATGACCCGGGGAAAGCAATATACACACAGACACGCGTATGTAGAAACATACGCGTGCATTCGCTGACGTAAAACGCACGCAGCCGTACAAAAATGCCGCGCGTCCTAAAAATGTAAAGTCTCGGCGCCGTTTTTTAAGATTTTCAGCTAATAATTTCCGAGCGGTTGTTTTCTCACCATTGCTATTCCAGCGGTCTTTCCGTATGGCCCCAGGGGCAGTTCTCATCCTCAGATATTCCTCTCTCTTCAGGAGGGGTAGTGCACATGCTGCGCCTTATGTTCGAATTCCATCGATCCATTCGGGCACCTCGATTTAGTTAATCAGGAAAGCACCCTCCAGTGGACACGCAAATTAATTACTCTTCCAAGCTGTCATCCAAAATGTATTATTTCAACAGCTGAGGATGAATAAAGACGTAAGTTTTAAATACAGACTGGGCCATGCTCCTATTTATATGACACTGTACTGACTGATACAAATTCAATTGACTTTTCACATATACCTCCATAGTAAGCTTTCGACTTCTATTTACCAGATTGCGATTTTGAGTATAGACGTTGCGACTTGAACTCTTGGCTACAATTTTACAACCATTTCTTCCCAGCAACAACTTTAACCAACTTTTTTATGGGCAAAGGTCTTGGAGCCACAATGGGCACCGCTTGTAGAAAGTATTCCGGATGAAATAACATGTGTTAACTTGTCCACCTTTACTAAATCCAGTATCAAGCTGAGGCCATATGTGCAAAAGCACCAAACAACAGAGCCAGTGAGGTTTCTGTCAGCATAAGAGATACACAAGTATACTGCTAACATTGTTTTGTGACGTTTCTCTCTGTATGTGTGTAGTTTTCTCCAGGTATTCTGTCTTAGTGCAAACAAGCAAAAAATACTCAAAGAGAAATTGTAAATGAAAAAATAAATCCCAAGCAAGGACCTCCCAGAGAAAGTATCGAGACTCAGCAAGTCTTTTCTGTGTGAAAACAGTCATGCAAAAACAAGTAAACTCGGTCCTCCACGAACAATCACACTCATGTTTAATCATATATTTTAAAACCTAAATTAAACACATCTCATTCGCAAAACATAATACATGATGTCCGCGTTCATTTATAGAGCTCAATTTTCAGTTGACGTATGCAGCTAAAATGAGGAGAGGGTCCCACTCTTGCATTACATCAACATTTTATATTTGTTTTAAGTTCGACATTCGACCAACCACACCTCCGATTAGCATTGTTGGCTACATACGGTGCGAAAGAAGTTCAACATACACACATGTGCCCTCTGAAAAACACAGGGATAGCTCAAATCTCGTTCAATATAATAAACGTTCAAAATGGCCCTCCACACTAATGCAAAGTTAACGATAGGGTTGTACGCTCCAAGATATATGCAGAAGACGTACCTTCACTCAACTGAATCTCCTCCATAAGCATGAACACATTTTCACCTAAAAGATCAAACCTAATCATTGAGAATGAGTTATAGAATAAACAGGTTCACCTATAGGCTAAAGAATAAAGCTGAGCATGAGCTAGCACACTGCGCCCTCAAGTCAGCAATCCCAGCTACGGCTAACAATGGCAAGTGAAATCTGAACCAGTCCTGGACGCTTCCTCCACCCCCAACTCGCTAGGACAACTGTCGTGGGGTATGGTCAAAAACCGCCACGGCCAACATGCGGAGGGGCACCTTTCATTTGTCAGTGGACTGACGTAGGAGGGCTGTCAATAAATTCGGTTGAAATTGACCGCAGTTTTTTTTATTATCGTGCTACGTTTTAACTAAAAGAAAATTGCCAAGAAATGACTCGCATATATATACATACACACACACACGTACAGTTCACCGCAGACAGTACGAAATTATTTATACACTGTACCAATGTTACAGAAGCAGAAACATTCACAAGGCCGAGCATATAAACATTCTAATCATTACCATCATCTGCAGCAACTCCGAAGCTTTATAAATATTGGAGATTAAAAAAGGTTAACATTTTCCTCAATGGTTATCACTCAGCAGTGGGCACTATGGGCCTTTTCCACAGAAAATAAACACCAAATTCCACAAGAATATTAATCATGATAATAACAACCTCTTGTGGTTAAATTCCACAAAAGAAAATTGCACTGTTTTTGCATGTCCGTGTACTTTGATCATTGACTCGCAGATTTCAGCCAAATTACTTTCACACTCTTTGCATGAACAGGCGTTCAAAATGTCCAAATGTAAAATGCTGGCCTCCGATCGCAGCAGTCAGTGACCCCGACTGTTTGTTCAAATGTGTACTTATGGTGGACGTACAGACTTTTTAAACTGTGTGTTCCTTTTGAGCACACTGGGGAAGGCTGTCTACTACAAAGCCTTTTCTTATTGACTCACTATTCCATGTGAATTATGTCTGACCATAACATCAGGCTTGAAATGAATAATATATACGGGTAAAATATAACCATTTGAACACCAGTAAGGAACGCGTCCTTATCACCAGCTAATGAACAGATGGTTAGCCCAACGATGATGTAATGCCCTGCGGCACACAATACAGCTTAGTGTTGTCAAATGTATGTCCACGACTCAAGGCACACCATCTGTATAGTCAATGACTGCAACAACACGCTATCGATTGCAAACTTACATTTCCAGATTCAATCTTCATTGGTGGTTAGACTGAATGGTACTTACATTTTTTTCTAAACCTCCGATTTTAGAGACCGCATATCTGCTAAAGAAATGTACCAAAAAAACTAAAATATTTAAATACTGTAATGAATTCTAGAGAAAAGCAAAAGCATGTAAGGCAAATGCCAAACAGCATCTCTCCAAATAGCTGTGATACTACAATATTTAGATGTACAGTGCACTAGTTTATCCATGTAAGATATGCTGAAAGCAGACAGGTATGCAGGCAGATGTCAGGGTCCTGGCATGTGGAGATTCAATCGATCCATCCATATTCAATCGCTATTATGAGCTCTCCAAAATGTCTCAATCAACTAAATGGCACGCGCTAAGCCGAGAGCGAGGACATTTTTGAGAATTAAACTGACAACAGCGAGAGCACAACTCACTGCTTTCCCCCATTAAACCGACCACATGCCGAGACCAAGACTCTTTGCTGCGAGACCCAAAAAGTGGCACATTATTTGTAATTTAGCTTAACAGCTGACGGGGGAAACCCCCTTATCACCACCGGCTTTCACACGTGCCCGTGGAAACTAAGGGCAGTATTAATAAATCACGTTTTGGACAAATTTGGGGGGGGGGGGAGAGGGGGGACATATTGCCCTCATGTTGTGGCTCTCTTGGCTCTCTTGGCAGCCGCAGCACAACAGGCCTTTCTGATCAGCAGCCAAAATTAATACACTGCTGGATGAAGGTCTCCCCAAACTGCTATCAGCTCATATATTCGCACGATGCAACAATTCACCTAGCATCGACACACAAGCATATCCCATTGCTCCATCTCCGTGGCGGACATCCTCTTGGGCACGTTCCCTCCCTTAGATCCCTTCTAGCAATGTGTATGTATGTGTAGTGTACTAATTCACAGACACCAGCAGGAGGTACTCTCTCTCTTTTATTCCGGCCTTCACAGCCTTAGGGGATAACCACATACCGGGTCGGGACAGCCAACATGCTGCCAGACCCACAGCTTAAAGAGGGCGAAGATCACGACAACGACGGCACGACGAGTTCCATTCCAGCTCGCAGCAGCCCCGACTGTGAGTCGGAGCTCACCTTTTATCCTGCCCAGAGTGGTCAGGCTCCGCCCTCGGCACCGCACACCTCTGGATCCCCCAGAAGACTCCGTGCCCTCCCCCCCCAAGTCCAACTGGTAGAACGCGCTGCTACCTCTAATTCCATTGTCTACCAATCTCCCAGTGTCACGCGCTACAGTGACTCATTCAATGTCACTACATATGTATGTTGAACTACTTAGGCACCGTCCGTAGCCAACCGCGCTAAAACGTGTGCTGTTATAAGTATTCATAACGATGTATTTGACATGTGCATTTTCTCTGATGCATGCATTTATTTTCCTGTCACTAAGTTATTCCAAGCATGCACTCAATGTCTAAGGTTATTATAATTATTGGCCCAAACCCATCTCTGACCAACATGTGCTGAAGAAAATGCATCACTTCTGTATTTACTGCTGAAAAAGTTTGACAAAGCTCATGTACAGAGGACTAAACTTTCCAAAATAAGTTATTTCTTCTCGATATTTGTTCAGCAATTAGCTAGCAAAGAGTGTGTTTCAGAAGATTACAGCTTAAGAATTATATATTTTAAAACATAAATGTAAAACACTCACTCCAGTCTCAGCATGAATATCATAAATGCAGCTTCTATTTCAAGCACTCACTGCTGCATTCACGGCCAATTATTAGCAATACGTCTACCACAACAGACATCTACAAGTGATTGCTTAGTGCTCATCGGTCATGAGATATAATACTCATACACACTCCCTCGAATCCCACACTGCCGTTTATATTTCTGTGCGATCACAAATGCACAGGACTGAATTTGTTTAAAACCCACTTCATCACTTAATATGGTTCAGTTATAACACTGGTGTCGGTAGTAGGGCTTTCGCCGTGAACAGAATACATTTTTACTCCATTGCACATGAATGCTACGTCCAAAAACAATGCTTAAATATCATGTTTTGTCTTTGAAGAGTCACAAGTCACAATTCTTTCACACTCATTG